TTCTGCCATCTACGGAAATCATTCCCTTGAAACTTGTCCAATTTATTGAACTTGGACGTCATCTCTTCCACGGTACTCATGATTATCACAAAGAAATATCAATTCGATTGTTGGGGTAAATCACGTAGGGGGTGATAATTCGAGTACTTGGATATCTTAAGGATCGTGTAAGTTCACTTTCCGAATTGATGTTTCTCCCCTATGCCTGGGTTACAAGAAATTCAATCTAGGATAATTCTTAAGGACACTCTAGAACTTAGGCACAAGAACTAGAGCCAAACTAGTGATATCTGGATTGTTATCTTTAATTTGAGTGCCAAAGTGATGAAGATATGTTGGATATTATTCCTCTACCTCCTCTGTACGAAATATGGTGGTATCTATCCATATTCATCGTCCTAGGCAGTTGTAACACGATTAAGAATAACCGCAGCAGTTTTTGGGAAACTGCTGGAAACTGCCTAACCGTTCTAGAACTCGGTCTAGAACCACAGAGCTGGTCTACTAAAAGTTATACCTCGAGTTCTACCTCGAGTTCCACTAACGTAGACACTTTGGAACTAAACTAGTTCTTATATACAAGTGTGCACTCCACACCTACTAATTTGTATTAGATCATAGTTCTAATTCCCATTGGCACTCATGTCATTTCCAATTACACAAAACGGCCGATGACACTAAAATCACCAATAGTAAGATCGGTTTGTTTAATTCATTTTCATTTAGACTTGATTGATTAACCAGAAATATGATTACCATCATCTTTTCATTCAACCCTTCTTGGAGTGAACTCAAATCACATGGGGATTTGTTATGGATAGGTAGATAAATTATTTCACCATCATTTTTTTGTGTAGTATCCATCTTGAGTGTTTTAGATTTCTTCTATTTCACTGGCAAATATAGGTCATAGTTGTTGGGATTGAAGAATTGTTTTTTTAAGGAAGGTATTTGAACACTTTGGTTTTCGCATTGCTATTCGTGATACAGTGTTAGGGATTGAAGAACTGTTCTCGAGTTATTTTTGTATTTATTACTTATTCTTATTCAAAATAAACCGGGCCAAATTCGGAGCAAAATTTCATATATGAAAAATGAATAGATTCAAAAACAGATATCTACGGCGCTATTACAAATTGAAGTCAATACAATCAACACCTCAAAGTACTATATGTATTACAAATTAGTTTCACATGCCTGATAGTATTAGTTGTTAATGTTAAGCATAAAATATTAATGTTAGGACTGACCCTAACAAAAATGTATATAAATAGATGGTGCAAAATCAAAGCAATACGCCAATACATCTATATATGGATCGGAGCTTGGAACTCTTTGACGTTTGTTACAGAGCATATAGCACATCAGAAAAATAATATGGGTAGCTTATATATAGAAATAGCAGATGACCAACCGTGTTGGGTTGATTATGCCAATGGATAAACTCCTTGTTCAAAGGGGATTCATATTCTTTGTCGTACGACAGAGTGTCTTGCATCAACGGACGGTGAGATTGTAAGGCAGCTCTGAGATAGGTGAAAAATGGGTCCCAAAATATGTGGTCATTGACTTGACCTTCTTGATTGGATGGTTTCCCTTCGCCGGGCATCCAACCTTGCTACAAATTTTCAATGGGGTCATCGGCCATAAGAGAAACGATTGAGATTAAAAGAGGGAAAAGATATCTATTTCAGCGTGAGTGTTATTTTGGGCCGAGCGAATAATTCAAAAATTGCCTGAACAAATAAGCTAAGTTATCTTCTTTATTAAGCTCCAAGTAAACTAAACCAAAGTTTATGAGTGAATCATTAAGACATCTTTAGCATTATTGAGCATTAAGTTCTTTAGGTTCCGAGCAAATAACCTTTAAGTCTAGTGATTTATGGTTTAATCACGATCTGTTTACATTTGATCTGATTTGATTTAGAAGATAACAGTGACGTTTCTTGTGTGATATAAGCCTATAACACATTGTGATCGTGCTTTTAGTTTTTATAATTAAGATAATGTGACTCAATACCATTTAATATGTTTATATAACATCAAAATTAATTTTAAAAGAAAAAATATGGAGATACCGTGATAATTACCAAATCATTCGAGATTATGAGAGCATGAGACTCGAGCAGAACTCATTACTATTTTGCATTTGGTGTATAAAAAGGTTCGTGCAAGTCCATTATTTGAATTATGATTCGAAATGTGATTCTTACAATGAACGGACTATATTGGTATTCTATACTGAGTATGCTACGTTATCTATTTAATTATATTATAATCATAATCCTTGATGCTGACAGGGGCGTAGCCAGGACACTGTGCTAGTCTGGGCCGGTACAAAGAATATTATTGGAAAAAAATTTACACGAAATTTTTTACACTAAAAATATTGACATTTTTCAAATTTGGGGTGGGCCAGGGCCTAGCCTGGGCACCCCCTAGCTCCGCCCCTGGATGCTGATATTATGGAAACACCTTTAAATTTCAATTTGGACCTTTACATTTTTTCCCTTTATATCACAATCTTCCCATCCGTCAATAGTGGAGGAAGGCAAGTTCCAAAAATGATGAAACAGATATATTGTTGGGAATATGAATTAATTAATATCTATAACAAACTCTCATTTAGTCTTATCCAAGACAAGATGAATTTTAACTTTTTCATTGAACATGGCACCGCAACATCGATTGTACGTAACATGGTCGGTTTTTATTATTCTTAATTTCATTCCACATTAGCCACCCCAGTTTAGGAATCTCATTTAAATTAGAATATTGTTATTAGAAAGGTTATACATAGTATATCACTAAATCAAATTAGACGGATCGGATAAAATATTAACTTTTTGGATAAAAACAATAAAATCAGTAATAAGTTCAGCATCTCAATGATAGTATGCATGAACAACTCAAACTCAAGGATTAGGGGGATTATATGTACTTAGCCATCGAGAAAGTTGCATGATTTTGTATCTTTTGTCACTCAATCGGTGTGTTTTGTCATGAAGTTAGTTAAGTTTTTATAAAAATCCTCCTAAAGATACAACTTTAGTGATTAAAGAATAACATTCACGGTCTGATGAGGATGTTTTTAGGGCTAGACAAGACGAGACTTCAACAGATTAGACCAGACCAGTTCAGATCAGATCAAACCAGACTTTGAGACTTTCGTAGTTATAAAATACACATAGATCGGACATTACCAGACCAGACAAGTTCAGACCAGACCAGAACTAAACAGATCAGATCAAATTCGCAAATTTCAGTCCAAATAAAAACATCGTGAATTAAGAATGTTTACTCTATCTTGATAAAAAATGAATAATAGCACCCACACAAGGTTACTTTACAAGAATTTGAACTCTAAAATTTGAGATAATTATAAAACTAAATGAGCTAAATGTTAGGTATGGGTCACAAAAATATACTTGTAGTTGTAAATTAAAAGCTTGCATTTCTTAAAGTTAAATCGAGGTGTGAGCTGAAATTTGGGATAATTCAATTTTTTCATTTCTTAATGTATTTTTTCATTATTCATATTTAATTCACTCTATTAATGTTTTTCATGAATCCATAATTCTAAATCTTACTAGATTTAATAATATATTGATGATTAAAATTCATCCATACTATATATATTTATATGACATGCATTTATTAATTATTAATTGTTAGCACGTGCTACAATTTGCTGACTTGTCGAAATTTATGAAGCTATGAAAAACTATGAATAACAGTTGATTAGTTGAATCTGATGAATTAATGAAAAATTAAATTAAAAATGTATTTTATTACAAAAAGAGAATTATATATGCAAATAGCTAAAGTAGTTCTTCAGCGCGCAAATCCAACAATAAAATTAATTTTAATTTTATTTATTTTCATCATTAGTAAGTGGTTACGGTGAGAAAGGATTCTTAGGAAAGAAACGAGAATGAATCTGAGCCGTTAGATTGTATTATGTGAAACTGAATTGTGCATTTACTGAAATTAAAACGTGCACGAGGTGAAATTGAAATGAAGAATAAAAAGTACAAAAATGTCACTGTATCATACTTTTTATTCTACATATTTAAGTTTCATGTAATGCACAAATCAGAGTCACATAATGTCATTATGTCGTACCCTTTGCGCTGCACAATTCAATTTCATATAATGCACATTTCAGTTTCACATAATACAATCTAACTGTGCAGATTCATTCACAATTCTCTTCAAAGACCATTATCTCATTTAAACCAAATGTTTCATTATTATTTAACAAATTAAAGGTGTGAAATCTACGTTTAATACTCTCCTCACTCTAAAATTTTGATAACTACCATAATCTAATCGTTTTGAAAACTTTGTCATTTATTGAAAGTAATAGATATGTGTTTAAAATATTTCTCGAATTACATATACACACTAATTTTTACTTTGTGATTTGATTATATATAAGGATGTTTTTCGTTGGACTTGTTTCAGTCGCAAATCAGATTAAATCAAATCAGACTAGACTTAAATATATATGACCAGATTTCGACACTATACAATACACATTAAGACCGACTCTATTAGATTAGACTACATAAGCTTAGACGAGACTATATTTAAATTGATGCGACTAGGTCAAAAGAATAAAATTTTCATTTGATTAAAAACAAGCTAGCTCAATTTTGACTAAAAGCATCTTCAATGCTACAATGATATGCAAAAATATATACAAAAAAAAATATACATGATATTTCTCTCTCATTTTCAATCTTATAACATTATGTTAAGTTTCTCAATAATGTCAACAACAATGTCTACATAGAAAAAAATTATTTGACATTTTGGACAACAACTTACTAAAAACATATATGATGGTTTAAACAAAAAAAGATATTCTACTCATGAATTTATGTATGTTTATCTCTGATGTCACATGTGCGGTGTTCAAGATGCTCTAAACTTTGTAGGTAGTAAAGTGGATAAGTGGAAAAAAGAGTTACTAAAAATAGTCTAAGCGCGTCAATTAGTAACGTTTCTTTTATCCGAAAAAAGATTCTGGGATGACCGTCCCGGCCTCTATTTGTTTTTTTGCTCCAATAAATTAGTGCTACTAGCTGTTTCTGAGAAAGCATACTATACGAGCAGCGGTGCAGAACTAACACGAGTACTTATTGGGAAAAAGAAATATAGAGACTGGCGTATAAAAAACTCATAGCTATCCCTGAAAGACCCCTTTTACATGCATATAGGAGGAGGAGGAGGAGAACAGGACTGATCTTTTTTGTTTTTTAAGGTAATGGTTTCCATTTTTCTCTCCACCATCTTCAAAAAGTTTCTTGCTTTGGCGCTTTGGATGTTCACTGTTTTTGAATTTGTAGATGCGAAGTGGAACTTGATCTTTTGTTTGATTCAATTTCCCCAAAAAACTCATGTTCTTCAATCTGTCTGGGGCTCTGTTGAGTATAAAAGATTTGATTTTTAGGGACTTCTGCTTAGTTCTGTTTATTTTACGTTTAGCGAATCAAATAATCAAATAATTATGCTATTCGGAAGAAATTGCATTACCGCTTTTAATTATCTTCAATAGCTATGGGTTTAAAGCTGGGGTTTTTGAGTCGCGTTTTGGCTATAACTATTATGTACTCGTTTGGTGACTATCTTATTGCTCGTAACACTAAGGACATACGGAATATTAATTAAGCAAAAAACAAGTAGAGAAAATAGTACTGCACAAGTACTATATTTTTTTTAAGAAAATATATATACAGTATTAAATATACTCCGTATTAGTTTAATTTTTACAATAATTGAGCAAATTTAAATGTTTGACTCACATGTGTGATGATATATCTGTATTCTGTCATAATGTAAAAAAAATCACCCAATTCAATAATTCATTACTACCCTTCCTTGGGAAGTTTTTACTCCGTATGATTTATCTCATTTCCAATATTTGGAAACTTATGTCCTTTTTTTCATATTCATTTCTCTCTCACTTTTTCCCTTTCTTTTTCTTACTTTTTCTTCTATCTAGTTCCTACATTTTATCATTTTCTTATTAATTAATTAATTAATTAATTTATTAATTTAATTAATTAATTAATGATAACCGATAGCCACTAATTCTGCATACAAGTATTGGAGTGGAATATCTGATCTGCAAGTATTTTTCAGTTGTAGCGTGCCTACTTCCCTTTTGTACTTACAAATACAAACGTGATTTGGGATCTACTCATTTTAACTGAAATTTACTCATGTGATCTGAAGTGGTATGGCGTGGTCTATTTAATTCTGGTTTGAACTGACATGTTTAATTAACTCTGGTTGAACTTAACTGTTTGATTCTATTCTGTTTTGGATCTGATCATATGCTAGATTTTGACTGAAATAAGTCGAAGTGAACATATCCTACATTATATTGAACTCTTGTTTATTTAACCATATTAACTGAATGTGTTTGTAAAAATATTCAATTATTCATAGAATGCTTAACTTTCTGCTCAAATGAATTATCAACATGTTTTTCTGCTTTCATATATCTTTAAAATGTTAAGTAAGCACATACTTCACACATCTCATTTAAAGCAAAGTAAGCAATTTCAATCTCAGTACCATTAAGTTCATGTTACTTAACTATTTCATGTTTCTTCCAATTTATAGCCTATCCAATTATCAGGGTACATTTTGCTTCTCAACTAGGATAAGAATGGAGGGCGGTCTACATAAAGCAGATAAAACAGAGTTCACAGAATGTTGGAGGTCGATATGGAGAACACCTTACATCATGCGGCTTGCCATGTCTGCGGGGATTGGTGGCTTTCTATTCGGTTATGATACTGGTTAGAATGCAATGCCTTTTCATCTCAAGTCCTTTCTTATTTGCTGTGATTCCTGGTCAAAGAGGAGCACCAGAGAGCTCTATTGTTGCAATAAATAATAATCTCACAAACTAATGCTGAATAGTAAATGCTCTATTAAACCTTTAGCAGGTCTTTTGCTAATTATAAAAATTAGACGTTACACCGTAAAGAAATGCACAACTGTAATCTACAAGTAAGGTTCAAATGTGATCATATAATGTTCATATATATTTAAAACCAAACACTAAAATAGGCTTCTTCTCTTCTTCTTTTTCTATATACTATATAGATTTTATATTTCCGTAATTGTAAGCATTCTCAATTGGGAGGCTGAGTGTTATGCCCCTCATTGCACACCCTGCCTGGAAGCTAAAAACATTGTTTCTACTTTTTTCAATTCTTTTTTGTGTTTTCTACTAAAAACATTGTTATTTTCAAACAAGGTGTTATTTCTGGCGCCTTGCTATACATTCGGGATGACTTTAGAGCTGTTGAGCAGCACACATGGCTACAGGCAAGTGGTTATTGATTCGTTTATTCAAATATTCTGGTTTAGACATTTGCAGGTTAGCTTAACTGATTTCATCAATATTGTGCAGGAAATGATTGTGAGCATGACGGTGGCAGGTGCCGTTGTGGGTGCTGCATTGGGTGGATTGCTAAGTGATAAGATAGGCCGAAAAAGATCAATTTTAATAGCTGATGTGCTGTTCTTTTTAGGTGCCATTGTCATGGCTCTTTCCCCCACTCCCTGGCTTATAATTATAGGAAGAGTGTTGGTCGGTTTGGGAGTTGGAATGGCTTCCATGACAGCACCACTTTATATTTCGGAGGCCTCTCCGGCTAAAATCAGAGGCGCTCTAGTTAGTGCTAATGGTCTCCTACTTACAGGGGGACAGTTTCTGTCTTACCTTATCAACTTAGCATTCACCAAGGTTAAATCATGACATCACGCTCTTTAACCTTTCTCCATGTGTAAAAATAAAAAACTTATATGTAGCCCTTTCTCTGATAAAAATGTGCTTTGTTACGCATCATCCACCCACTAGGTACCAGGCACCTGGCGTTGGATGCTAGGGATTGCAGGAGTTCCTGCTTTTGTTCAGTTCATGTTGATGATCTTTCTCCCGGAGTCACCTCGATGGCTCTATCGTCAGGTAACTTCAGTTTTCTTTACCTCAATTCTTGATCATGGTTGTATCTACTACTCTTACTCCCATGCTTTTGTGCACATTTCATTTAGTCCATGGCGAACACCATTTATTCTAACCTAAAGGTTAAGATTTTTGTTCGTTCTCCCGTAATTCATGCCCATCCTCCGAGGGTGGCAATTTGTAGTTGGACTATGAATGCAAGAGGTTTTTCCTATAATATTTGTCAAGTGATCCTAAATACAAAGATAAAAATCACTTATAACGTCTTCCACTATGTACTCCCATTAGATTAGAATCTTTTGCAATGAAAGTATGACTATATGGTCATTATAGCCACTGATGAAATATCATCATGGCAACTGCATTAAAAGGAACATCACCATAGTCACTACAGCCACTGCAAAAATACCACGATTATTACTACTCTCTGCACCATACAATTAACATTTTGTAGATTATTACGGAGTACGTAGTATTATTTAGTCATATTTTTTTCATGATTTCTTATCGTGACTGATAGAACATGTGTGTGTGTGATTAATCAGAACAAGGTAGAAGAAGCCAGGGCCGTGTTGGAGAAGATCTATCTGCCGAGTGAAGTCGAACAAGAAATAAGGGCTTTGCATGAATCTGTTGAGCACGAGAAAGCGGAATCAAAAGCAATCGGAGACGGCGTTTTTGCTAAGTTAAAGAATGCTTGGGGAAACACTGTGGTTCGCAGAGGTCTCTATGCAGGCATAACTGTTCAAGTAGCCCAACAATTCGTTGGAATCAACACTGTCATGTATTACAGTCCGACAATCGTGCAACTTGCTGGATTTGCCTCAAACAGGACTGCGATAGCACTCTCACTCATCACATCTGGACTCAATGCCTTTGGAAGTATCATGAGTATGTGTTTTGTCGACAGGTATGGGAGGAGGAGGTTGATGATCATCTCGATGATAGGTACCATAATATGCCTTGTTGTATTGTCTGTCCTGTTCCAACAAGCTAGCATCCATTCCCCAGCCATTAGTGTAAGCGAATCCAATCATTTTGGAGTAAACTCTACATGTCCCAGTTTCTTGAAACAACCAAACCCAGAATCATGGAGCTGTATGTCATGTCTCAGTGCATCTGATTGTTCCTTCTGCAGCAACTCTGCAAGCAAAGTAAGTTTACTTACTCAACCATTTAGTCATTAAATATTATCCCTCTTATGTTTTCCAGTAGAATGTTTGCAAGATTCATAGTCATAGAATCTTGATAAGAATTCAGAATTAGGTTGGCACAATTCAATTAGGCTATAAGGCACTTCTGTCAAACCACATGAAAAGATCGAATCCAATCTGTCAATTAGTTCAACCCAAACTATTATTAAACCTATCCTTCTCGGTTTATATTTCCGATTTGACACTCTAACATCTACTTCAAGTGGATTATCGGCCGGTTTTTATGCTAACTGGGCTAACTGGTTCTCTTATGGACCATGTTCTTTCACACACATGTATCTGAATTCATTAAACCTCATTCAAATAAAAATCAGCCAGTTAATAGCCTGATTAGACATACTCATCGCTTTATTCTTGATTAGCCAGACTTTGTGTTTGATTTAGGAACAGTTCATTTGGATAGTATTTTTAAGTCTGATCCATTATGAACTGGTATGCTCTCTTAAAGTATGGGTTTAGTATGTACTGTGTTATTTAAATCTGGTCTGGTAGGTACTTAACTATTGTCTAAGTTTGATACAAACCGGTCTAGAAATTAGTCGAAAGTGTACAGTTCTGTAATAGCTCATGAACTTATTTGGTTGGGCATGCTACCTGACATTCCTCCAACTTTTCCTCTTTCAACAGTTTAACCCTGGGGCATGCTTATCTACTACAAATGCTATCGAAGGCCTGTGCAAATCGGAAAGGCGTGAATGGTACACTCAAGGTTGCCCGAGTAAGTTCGGTTTCTTTGCTGTCCTACTCCTAGGAGCATACATCATATCTTATGCACCGGGCATAGGAACGGCACCTTGGATTGTGAACTCAGAGATTTACCCCTTGAGATACCGAGGCATCGGTGGAGGCATTGCTGCTGTGTCTAACTGGATGTCCAATCTCATTGTGAGTCAGACCTTCTTAACTTTAACCGAGGCAATTGGTCCTTGGGGCACATTCCTATTGTTTGCTGGATTTGCACTCATTGGCCTTATAGCCATCTTCTTCCTTGTACCGGAAACCAAAGGGTTGCCATTCGAGGAGGTTGAGAAGTTGCTTGAGAAAGGCTTCAGACCAAAGATTTTTTGCTTTAAATCGAAGGATAAAGCTCTCCCATCATAGGTTTACAATGTGGTGTGATTTTAGCTAAATTACTTTCACACTGTCATATTATTTACTAATAATATTTTTATCTGGTGTAAATCCCTTAAAGAGGAATGCTTAATCTTGGCGTGCATCCCTTAAAGGGATTCAGGTTAAAGTTCCATTTTTTTTGGAAAAAATTAAATATAACATTTTGAAAAATATGTTAATATTTTGTTCTGCAACTATATATTATGTCGTGAAAGACTTTTAGCTTCATATGGCTTTGATTTGTTGTAATGTTCAATACTCCGTATCTTATTCGAGAGCTATTTGGGCTAGTTTTTGGAGCCTTGGAGGTTTGGTTTGTATAGAAGAATCGTTTTGGGTTAATACTCTGGAGAATGGACAATCGTTTTGGGTTACACATATATTGCCATTGGTTCATCCCGCCAACCCGTTACATATATGTTGGTGTGTTCGCTATATTTTTTTATGAAGCTAGAATGATGTGTGAGCCGCGACAGAGACGAAGGGGTTGAGGCATAAAGAGTTTATATTCGATGGAACAAAGCTTAAAATTTAATATATTTTTCTTGGGAGGTCAAGACTCAAGACCTCCTCCGGCACCTCCCTGTTTTGTGAGCGACAATAATGTTTTAACCGTATCATCATTATAGTTTCGGGATATCAACAGAGATAATGATAAATAAAGGAAATCATTCCGATGATTTGATAATTCAAAATCATTAGGGCATCCACATCCATGGTATTATTTGGAGATTATTTTGACGATGTGGATGATATTTATTGAGATCATGATTGAGAAGTTACGATTACTTCAAAAGATTATTCTAACAAATAATTTGATATCAAATTTTAAATCTGGATTATTTAAGATTATTCCCAAATTTTTAGACTCTTTCTCCCAAATTTTTAGAGACATAGCTACCGGAGTGCTTTTAATGGGCATAGTTGTTGCTGCTTTACTATTCCGAAGGTTTCTTGATACTACTGGGAATTGCAAAAGCATTTTAAATTTGAAATACAACTTGCTCAAAAAAATCTTGGTAAATAAAAATCATGGTTGATGAGAAGTTGATAGATTTGAAGATCATTTGAGATTGTTTATGTGGCAGTAACAAAGCAATAACTAAGCATAAAAAAACTGTAAATTTGGAGAGCATGAATGAAAATACTCTTAGGGTCACATTAAGTAAATCTGTTCTATTTAAGGTTATTTTAAATTTTCCCTATCGTGGAAATCTAAAGATATGATTTTGTTTGTGCTTATATGCATTGGTGTTTAAGGAGTACCTTTAAATCATTTCATGCACCCGTAGCAGTGTAACTCCACATAGGGAAGGTTTCTGAAATAGGACTAAAACAGTTTGAAAATTCCAAAATATGATTGTCATGTTTTTATTCCCAAAATTAAATAGGAGTAATTACTGTCAAGTTTGGAAAATACTGTCATGTTTGAAGTCTGATACTGCCTAAACATGACAGTAATTAGTCATATTTTGGGAATAAAAACATGGCAGTCCTATTTTTGAATTTTCAAACCTTTTTAGTCCTATTTCGGGTAATATTTTCCACATATAAATCTTATACGGATTCCGAGTAGCATTTTTCATAATTGGAAACTGCTATAATTATAAACATAGTCATGAGAAAACTTACAAACAAATTTAAATGTCTCATAACTTATATGGTATACCCGTTATTTTTATACTATGTAATACTCGTATATTACGGAGTAAAACTTTAGGCCTTTAGTTTATGTGTCATGTTCTCACTCCTTAATCTTTTTTTCTTCTGCTTCTTACGTGAGTCTATAGCTTATTAGCTTTTCCTTCCTACGTATCATGCTCCCGGCCCACTCCATAGTCTTTTCCTTTTGATTTCTGTAAGGAATAAATGTAATTAGATTTTGATGATGCTATAGGATTAGAAAGTTAGAGTACCCCCAAATTAGATTTTATGTATTAGAATTTTCAATTGTAAGTATTAGTGTAGTCGACGATCAGAGTTGCTCTATTTTGGATCAGATCAGAAGTGCATCAGACTTGCTCTATGAGAACTGCTCCATCAGAGTTCTCTTAGCAGAAGTCCATCAGAGTTGCATCATACGAGTTGCTGATAAATTTGGACATCTGATAACCGATGAGAGTTACAGATCAGAGGTACTCATCAGCGGACCTATCAGAATCAGAGTTAGAGTTCAGTCAGAGAACAGAACTCCATCAGAACTCAACTCATCAGAAAGCCTTCAGAATCCAACATATCAGAAGAACCTGATCAGAGCCCAACGAACACTTAGAAAAATTTCAAGCAACATCCAACAGCTATGAATTCAACGGGTAAAAACATCCAACGGCTACAAGACTGTGCATGAAAGGAAAGCATTTAAATGCACATTAAATGAGCCTGATACGCTGAAGGATTGATTGCAAATGATTGACCAAAGAATCCGGGAAGATATATTAGAAAAATAGAAACCTTCCAAAAACGGCGGTCAAGTCAACTGTACGCGCATTTAATGCAGTTGTCCCCTCCTCCAACGGGCAGACAACCCCAGTATATAAGCTACTCTACGAAGAACTGGAAAACAACTTTGCTACAACTTTTGCTCATCATCATTCAAGCTTTCTTGAGATTCAAATTCTACAAACTTCAAAAAGACAAGCTTAAGTTGGGAAGATTCAAACTCCAAACCTCTCATCCCCAACAAACAAGCAAAGTTCATCCTGTTCTTCAACACTTCAAGAACTTCATCAAACATCATTTGTAACGAAGCAAGTTGGAGGAAAAACTCTGTTTTTCAAAGGATCTTCTGAAAAGAAGGGCGTCCAAGTAACTGCAGTAGTGAAGTGGTGATACTTCCGGGAAGCTGAGTGAAAGGATCAGCCATCAGGACGTGAAACTGCATCCTGGGTGGCATCTAGGCTTGAAGAAGACGTGGAGTGCTTCTTGAGTGCTAGGAATTAGCTTTGTAACTGATCTACTTCAAAGCTAGTGGAACAGTGGACTAGAGGAACGAGTTGTTCCTTGAACCACTATAAAAATATCCGGTGTCATTTACTTTACTGCAATTTATATTTCTGCACTTAGGATATTATCTGATTAACTCTAAGACTTGGAATCTGTGTTCAGCAGATCTTGTTTTCAGAGTTATCAGAAAGGCATTTGCCTTAGTATTTTACTGAGGCTACCCGGACAGATCAGAATCCGCTGCCAAGGCCAGTTCTGATATCAGAACCAGCCTTTCTCTGACATCAGAATCAGACCTTCTCTGATAAGTCAGTTTTGACTTAGAGAAAATTTGAAAATCCAATCAGTCTATTCACCCCCCCCTCTAGACTGATTACCATTTTAGACGGGACCAACAAGTGGTATCAGAGCTTCCTTGTTCTTGTAATCTTTCAGGTTACTCTCTGAACAAAGATCCACTTGTTCTTAGCCTCTATTTAATTGTTATTATGGATAACTCTCTTGCCAAGCATCTGATGTTCACAGATCAGAAGTATGATGATTGGAAGATCAGAATGAAGGCACATCTATGTGCCCTACATGATGAAATGTGGGAAGTCTTGGAGAATGGACCCTTTATCCAGTTCATGAAGATCAATCCTGCTCACTCTATTGATAACTCTCAGCCCCAGATGATTGAGAAAGCCCGGTCAGAATGGACTAAGGAAGAGAAAAGGCAGTACAACCTGGATAATATAGCCAAGGACATCCTTTACAAGGCTATTGATGAAAGATACTTCAACAGAATCAAGAAGTGCAGAACTGCCAAAGAAATCTGGGATAAGCTGGATGAGATTGGAGCAGGAGATGAACAAGAAAGAGATAATAAGTTGACCATTGCTATGAAGAAGTTTGATGACTTCAAACTTCTGCCAGAAGAATGCATTGCTAAGATGCATGAGAGACTGCTGATTCTTATTAGTGAGATTTCTGAGCTTGGAAAGGAGCTCACCATCAAAGAGGTCAACATGAAGATCCTCAGGGGACTGCCTTCTGCCTGGAAGATGAAGGTGATTGCAGTCCAGGAAAGCAAGAACATCAAGACTTATGCCACTGAGAAACTCATCTCTGATCTCAAGGCTTATGAGTTTGAGATGCATGAAGAGAAGGAAGAAGCTCCTGATGAAAGGATCACCACTGCTCTCACTGCAAGTACCTCTAAGGTAAGTGACTTTGACCCTTCTACTCTCTTATCTGATGAATATATGGCTGCTTTTGCCAGAAAGTTTAAGAAGTTCATGAAGAAAGATGGAAGGAGTCCATCTTCCATCAGAAGACCTCATCAGAAGACCAAATCTTCTGAAAGCAATGGAGAGTACCTCTGCTACAACTGCAGACAACCTGGGCACTTCAAAGCAAACTGCCCCTATCCAAGAGTGTCCAAGAAGCAAGGACATGAAGAAGAAAAGAAACCAGATGATCAACACAGAAGAAGAAGAGCATTTGTCTCAGAACAAGCTCAGAGAGATCCACTCTCTGAATCAGAGTCCAGCTCAGACTCCGACTCTGATGAAGCATTTTGCTGCTTGGATGCAGAAACTGAAGACCTCTGCCTCATGGCACAATCAGATGACGAGGTATGCTCTACTTCTGATTCTATTTCTTCTTCGGTAGGCACAGCCTTAAATGATGATCCAATGTCATCATTCTGGGAAGAGTTCCAAACTATCCAAGCCACTTATTCTTTTGTTAAAGAAGAGAACAGTAGGCTGAAAGTTGATATCTCTAATCTAAGGAAAGAGACTGAGTGTAAACTTAATTTCTTAACTGAGGAAAGAGATAGACTGAAAGCTGAAAATGAGTCTCTTCTGAAAAGAATAAGAGACATTGAGGAACTTGAGAGTAGATATAATAGTCTTCTGAAGATGCAATCTTCCATGAAGAATATTGGTGACTCTCATAACCTCACCTCTGGTCTTGGATATGTTGAACCAGAGTCTGGTGAGCCTTCTGTAAGGCCTAGCACCCAAGTTGCTAAGGCTAAAAAGGTCATAGTGCCACAGACTCTGAGCCCCAATTGCCATGCTAGTACTTCTGGTACTAAAGTTGTTCATGAGAAGGTCATACCAGAGAAACAAACTCTAAAGGCAAAACCAAAACAAAGCTTGAAAACTAATGAACCTGGCAGACACTCTAGGAAAAGGAAAAGTTTTCAGAACAATAATAATCAAAGGCCTAACCCTATCAGACAATCTCATGACAATGGTATCAGAAACTGCTATCAGAAAGGCAGATATCAAGAGAAGATTAACTATAGGCAGAAGAGGTTGTCTGGTCAACCTCAGAAGTCTAAAGTTAAGCGCTCCTCTGATCTTGATAGTATATGGGACTTCTTTCCAACCAAGAAGGCTATGCAGAAGTATGCAAACAGAAAGCATGATCCTCACAAGCATCTGCCCAAAGTGAATCATACATCTGTTTACTACGACTACCAGGTGGACAATGGGTACCATCCACCAAGGTTTCAGTTGATGAGACCAAAATGGTACCAACTACCAAGACTGCATTACCCCCCAGGACCCAACATTGCTTGGGTACCTAAATCTTCCTTTTAATCATGCAGGAACTGTGTGCTGGAGCCATCTCAGAAAAAGAATGGTACATTGACAGTGGATGCTCCAGACACATGACAGGTGACAAGAGTTGCCTATCAGAGTTCCAGAAAATCAATGGACCCAGAGTCACTTTCGGTGGAAATGACAAGGAAGGGCAAACAAAAGGAAGAGGGAAGCTGATCAAGAACCAGATAATCATTGAAGATGTCTCA